GAATTAGCTTTGCCCTTTGTTTCAGGAAAATTAAAGAAATTACAGAACAGGAGTAAAAATACATTAAAAATGTTGGCTAGCAAGTGCTCTATCCCAGCCTAGCTGGAGAGTGAAAAAGGAAATCAGTTCTGGGCATTACCATCAGCATTTTCTGGATGCTGCAGTGATTATACTGCCGAACTTACTGCGAACATAATCGCTTGCCAAAGACCCACACAGACCCATGATCACCAGCTCACCTCGTGCATCCCCGTCAGGAGGACGCCTCATGACCATCTACTCCGGTAACACAAAAGTCTCTGTCCTGCGTTCGGTGCACTCAGCCAGCGAGGCCCAGCCCGAGGCACGCTGCTGGAGGGCTGACGGATGGTCCACTTACAGCAGCAGCGCACAAGTGCGCATCGCCGGTACCCGCAGCGCAGCCTCCCGCCTCTCCTCCGGCGCCGGCTAAGGCTGAGCATCTCCTGCCGCAGGTACCGCTGGAGCCAGGCTGGGTGCTGCCCGCCGCCCCCCTCCAGCGCTGTCTTTTGAATCCATCACGGCACAGGAACACCAGGCCAAGCAATAAACCCCGATGTTATAATTATTAAAAGGCAATTGAATCTTTATCGATTGTTTTCACATCGCACCACCCGCACGGAGCGTTAAGCCATTTGATATCACGCTACTCGGGATGGGAACTGAGAACGCGCAGTCCGAGCAATTCCTCCGTTCCCTGCTCCTAGGGAGAGCTCACGGTGGTGTTACGGGACCAGCTTAAACACCCGCGAGGCTGCTGTTACAGCTTTTATTCCTCCTGGAGATGAAAAAAAAAAAAAAAAGCAGCAGCCTGGTAACAGGTATCTTTTTACAAGACAGGACTTGGCAGGTGCCAGTGGAAATCCTAGAAAGCTCCGGTCTGGTAAGCCTGGCTGTGCCGCACGTGGGATCCGCGGAGCCTCCTGCCCCGCAGCTGCTCTCTGCAGGACGGGGCCCGGGGCCCCTTCCTGCTGCTTGTGCCCCGTCCCGGTCCCACGCCTCGCGTGCGGCGAGGGCACCCGGGAAGGTACGTACCAGGAAAGCAAACCACGAGAAAGCTGATCAAAAATAGTGGGTGCAGCTACTTCAGGCGAAGCAAGGTCTCCATCTTTTGCTGATTATTTCTTCCCCTTCAAGAACAGAGGACCTGTATTAATCTGCATGCTCTAAAAGCCCTCGTGCACACTCTGCTACATCTTCCCAAGTTAATTCTTTTTCCCATTGTATGATTATTACTTCACTTTTCTTGACAGCACTGTATCGTAATTTGAACTTACCGTTAATAAAGCCTTACAAAGACTTTCAATAAGCTTTATTTCTGTGCAGCAGCCCAGAGAGACAGAAAAGGGATTGTAACTCGGCAGGTGGGCACAAACACGGTAACTTGTAGGAGAGGAATTACACTCGACGAGTGCGAGGAGCTGCTTTGCAGGTAACATTAGGAACGAACGTCCGGACCAGTGCGAAGACCAGGGCTTTACGCTTACGTCTCTTCTCCTCCTGCAAAGTCAAGCATCAGTACGGACGGGCAGGGCCACCTTCCCCTCTTACCGTCGCTTTTTGGGCCAACGACGTTCGCAGCTGAAGGGACGGCAAATTCAAATACAAATCCCTATTTGAAATAACTAATTCCTTATGAGACCCTGAGTGAAATGGCTGCAGCACCTCTGAGTACTAGGAAGCATGCCCAGAAGGGATGGACAGATGTCAAGCTTGTGATGGCCATAGTTTATACACTCACCAACACTCTCGTACTACAAGTATAAAAAATAGGCAGAAAAACGTCCCAGAAGTAAATTGACATACTGTATTTATTGCACAAATTTCCCCTAAAACTGGGAATGGTTATTATAATACAAGTGCACATCTTGGGAAATATATACAAAAACAGAAGAGATAACAAGTATGTACATTTTACCCAGCATTTTACAAGTACCACCATCTAAATAATTTAGAGAAAGCAAAAAATTGTCATAAAACATCTATAATAACTAATAGGGAAAACATACGCAAGGTGTAAAATCCTTTCTTTTAAATATTTTTTGTTCTTAGCAGCCCAGTGTTTGCCAATTGCAACAACAACAAATTTGCTAATTTGTGTGCCTAGTACACTTAGTTTTCAGCCCGAAAATTAAGACATGTTAATGGAGATCGGTAATAGTGGAAAAAAGAAATCAAACATTAGTTTTCTATTCACATAAAACAAATCGCGATACACTTTGTAAAAGCCGACGCTATCGTCCTACAAAAGATCCCTTTTTGTATTATTTAACAACTAGACTTACGTACCACTTTGTTCGTGTACCCTAAAAGTTAACTTACAGAATAACTTCCCGTCACGCAAGGGTTTTGGCTGCGCTTTGACTACAATACGGGCTCCCCCCGCCGGCGGGGGGAGAGGAGGAAGCCGCATCTGCGGCCGCTTCGTCTGGGACTGACTGAACGCATCATTACGACGACGTTAACGGGTTGTGTTAGGCAGAAGACGGCAGAGAAGGGTGCCACCGAACAACCGCCTTTTTCTCCTTCTCGAGTTAATACTCATTTCAAGCTGCGCAAGGGCCTTTCTTGAGAGTCAAATCCATTTGAAAGCGATACCCACAGTTCACCTAATAGTGGTGAAATGGAGGAGACCGTAGTATTTTCCTGTAAGGATGCGTTCTAAGCACGGTCCTGGGAGGTGCCGGGCTTACGGTGCGGCGCGCCCCAGCTACTGGGGCATGTCCTAGGGATGAGCCCACGCAAGGATCCTCCCCAGCGGCGAGGGCAGGAGCGCATCCTCGGGGCTCCTCCACCGGGACCACGACGCCAGCACCCGGCAGCGCTAACGTCGTCAGGTTACAACTGCAAATCTATGTACAATGTTCAGAATCGTAACTATTGGCTGGATAATGTATTATAGCAAAGAGTTAAAAATTCATATTCTGAGCTCGATCCTATATTTCATTAAAAATGTGTTTACACAACTGGGCCCCTACATTTTGTGCTCATTCCAAAAGCCAGATGTAATATAATTGTGTGGTGAAGAAAGGACTTTTGAAGAATAGGGGAGAAACATATCCTTAGATCACATATTAAACACAAGTTTCTTCCCTGCAGCAGTCAGCGTTAGATTTTATATACAAAAGAGCGTCAAACGACACTGCCTATATTAACGTTTGGTTTACTTACTAACGTAGACTCAGTCCTACATGGAAAGGGGTGTGGGTTTGCCGTGTAGATCTTCCCTGGAACAGAGTCTTAAGTTACAGATTTTAAATATTACTGAAAAAACACTCTGGGTGAAATCCTGGCCCCAGCGAAGGAAGGGAGGAGAGTTTTGTCATTGACAGCGGTGGGGCAGGGATCACTCCTATTGTTTTCAAGTTTATCAAATGGTTAAAATAGATTTGTATTTAAAATAACTCTGCAAACAATAGCAGGCGTGCTATACTATTGAAAAGATGATAACAGAATGACATATTTATAGAACTGTTTATAGAGTTCAGTGACCAAGTGAACACGTATCTCCTACTTCTGTGGATAATCCATGATTTTCGATATACTGAACGCAATCGATGAAAACAGAACCTAAAAATCAGCAACATTAATTGGCTGCTAGGACAAATACGCCAAGAAAAGCCTATAATGAAGTGTCCAGTTAAACTGAGGTAGTAGAGCCTTTGAAAACATAATCCACCTACCACTGTGTATTTACATTACTTACACCAGATTGGGTCCATCAGCTATTCGTACAGCTATTGTATATACAGTGACAAAACAGTGATGGCTGAGTAGAGGAGAAATGCTGAGAATAAAATAAACAAGAGGTCCTGCTGGTAATTACACAAGTGAGTAGAAAAGGGATTAGAGTCATCTGCATCAAGGGTATATTTGTCAAAAAATAATTTTGATATTACTATACTATGGTGTAATCAATATTCATTTTTTGTAGAATGCTTTTAAAAAATATATCAATTAGTTACCTGAGCAATTAAGGGTAATAGCCTATTCATTTTTTTCCCCAATGCTTTGGTACAATTACTTCTTGTTCATTATTTCAATAGCTGACTGACTGCTGTAAAAAGAATATGATGTTGCAAGAACATTAGAGACCATAAAAAAGTTAGAGGTAAGAGTCAAGTCATTCTGGGGACCCCACGGGGAAATTTCAGCCAACGTTCTCTTTAGATTTTTTTTTTTTTTTAACGTTTTGACTACGTTGTGGAAGAAAAGCATCACTTAGTATAAAGCAACATTTAAACATTATAAACATTTAATACTGGTTACGACATCCGGCCAAGAAAGAGAATCTCCGTCGCTAGTTTGTCTGTTGGCCTCTTCCTCGCTCCTCCCTGTCCCCCCCACGCCCCCCGCTGTTCCCTCTCCCCAGGAGAAAGATCATAAATAAATTTTGGAGCTGAGTGTCATTAATAAGCTTTTTACAAAACAAACCAGCCCCCCAACCCCTGTTCTTCCTCTGGGAAGCATCCAGAATTTGACTACGACATGAAAAAGTAGAAGTTGTTTACAAATCATTGCAGCTTGAGAATTACAGATCTTAACGAGATCCTAATCAGGAGAAGCCAGTCTGAAGACAGCTGCTGCATTCTCTTGTTAAGTTTATAATTGGCGATAGCATCATGTATTTCTCAAAGCAGTTTTTCCTCGCATTCCCCGGTATAAATTACAGTTAGCCACTGTGGCAGAAACTGATAAAAAATGCAAGATCTTCAGCTTTTGCTAAAATCTTTGCTTTTCCGTGTTTGAAATCTCGGGCTCACTCATTTTTCTTCTTTTCCTTTCTTTATCCTTTTTTATAAATGACAGAGTGGGAGAGGAAAAGTCTCCAACTGTTTGTGTAATGTGCAGTCACATATGGAGGTGCTGCAGCGCAACGAGCAGTTTGTTTCAGTTGCTTCAAAGAGAAAGGAGCCAGAACAAGTTGTTTTCCACTTTGTTTCCAGAGGGGAAAAAAGTCAACGTCTGTGGCCTCTGGCATTTTAAAGTAGTATCTGGGCAACATACGGAGAGTGAGTGCTTGCTACAGCTGCCAGTAAAGGGAGGTCGCTGGATTCAATCCTAAAAGGAAGCAGAAGAGTCACATTAAATCTAACCCGAAATGTAGCTGGGCTGAACACGTGCGTTAGTAACCACATTGCCTGCTCAAGCCCAAGTGTTTGTGCTTGGACCGCGAGTGTGTACAGCTCCGAGTGGCAGGACATTCTTCAAGTAAAATGGAAGCCAGTTACGCCCTCTCCTAACGCGGCGCTGCCAGCTGGGTTACACACTCCAGCCACCAGACTGTTTGTAACATCCCTTCCAGACGTGCCTGCTCCCACTGTCAACGCAGCCTTTAGCTCCTACCTGCCTGGTTTGCGTTTTATTTTTTTTTTTTCCACTGAGCTAACAAACTGGTGAGAAAGCAGATGGAGGGAGGAAAAACAGCAGATTCCTTCCTACCCTCAAAGTAAAGGGAGCAATAGCTGGGGGGCAAAGCACAGGAGCAGAGGACTAAGCTAAACTACTTCTGCGGCTACCAAGGAAGCCCTGGCACCGTCCTGCAGCTCACCCCGCTGCAGCTGCTCCCCCAGCTCCAGCTCCACACATGCTCCGTGTGCCTTCCTGCTCACCCGGTACTCCTCTGCATCAAAAGATATTCAGAGCCTTCCTATAAACACCCCTTAAATAGCTGCTCTGCCTGTGCCCCACACCCACAGAGAGGTATTATGTGCCTTACATGACCCAGAGGGTGTTTTCTGCCATGTAGGGAATCAGGTGCCCCACGTTGTTCAGTGATGACTGACCAACTAAGGAAGGAGTCTGATAAGCTCTGGAGTGCTGAGCCCATCTTCCTGCCCGGAGGGAAGAGAGAAAGGCTGGGGGATCCTCGGGATCAAGCAATGGGTAAGGAGGAGCCTGCGGCCATGGGTGATTTATGCCACACTATGGTTCCAGTCCCATTTAGGAATCCATTTCACTGTGCTTAGAACAAGCCCAGGCGGAGAATTTGGCACCAGGAAACCCAGGGCAGCACTGCTCGGAGGAAGTTTGTGATCGTACCCCAGCACCATGCCCAGCTCCTTGACGTGAACTCTCATCTGGCCCTTGAGATACTCAGACAGCATCTTGCTTTTGAAATAGAGCTCCTGCAGCCGATCTTCCAGGTGCATGACACACTAGAAAGCAAAAGAGTCGTGTTAGGGAGAAGAGAGCGCTATATCCAAACCGCACCCAGCCTCAGAGCAAACAGCACAGACCCCATAAGTCTATTGCCTTTCCTGTGGCCGTGTCTAGGTGAATAATTAGTAAGATGTACACTGGCAAGGCTCTAACTTTTAAGCAGAAGCCTTTGATTGCACGTTAAATCAGAATTAACGCGACAGTTGTCTTCATTACAGAGTAACATTTAAACGGACAGCTCAAACAGCTACATCAGGGGATGCCCTGGCTACTAACATTGTGACTACGGATAAATAAACTAGGCAGAACCTTGCAACCTCTTTAACCTATGAAGTGAAAGGATGCTTTAAAAACATCGCCCTCTCGATTGTCATTCATACTTACAAAGTTTGGAGATAAATTATGCTTGTAAAGCTGAAGAGTGGAATGAAGCAGGTTGGAGATGAGACTCGAGACTAACACTTCTTTTCCCAGCTTATTATCAATCATTCGTCTCTGGCTACTGGCCACTTGCACTGTCCATTTGTCTGTGTCTGCAATAATGCAGACGGCTTCTGCAATCGGTTCATCCAGAACAGGATGCTAGAAACAAAAAATGAATAGCAGGACCCTGAGAATGACAAATGACAACGGTCTTTTCACAAAACGTCGCCATCCTGGATAGCAGGGATGGCATCCCAGACACTGCTTCATCTAAAATACCGTAACATGCGCTAACATGGCGTTCCATCTATTAAAAACAGAGCTTTATTGTAAGCAAGGCACAGTCTTAGAAGGACAGTCACTATTTCACATTTTCTTCCAGCCTTGAAAGCATGTCACTGGCTGACAATTAAATCGTTTGATATTTGATATAAACAGATCTGATGTATCTAAAATACATTTTAAACCCCTAAAACTGGAAGTACCAAAAACCCAACGTGCTGTTCAACATGGCAGTGTTAACGAGGTTGGGTTTATTCCCAGTTGTCACCGGTTTCCCTTTATGGGAGGGCCAGCAGAGGGAGTCAGGGACCAAGCCTGCGCCCAGCTCCTCCATTCCTTCCAAGTAGCATTTCACCTCTCTAAAGCCACGGAGGTTTTAAAAAGGGAGTATTTGGAACTCCACTGTCCTTCCCCAATACCTTTGTTGGGCTGCACCTCTTTCCAAAGAGTCCCACAGGGACTTGACACAGGGCTAGGATGCAGTTATTATTTTACTTGAAGATAAGCATATAAAATCTTGCTCGGTCCTTTTGTATCCTCTCAATCTTTGACTTTTGCAACTGAAGTTTAAGTCTGCTGATGGACATGCACCGCTATTAGGTTGTATTTCAGATAGATCTGTTTCGTAGCAGCAGCTACCTCACACTGCTGCCTCTGTTGCCTGAAGTTCAATTACACTTCACAAATGGCTTAAATATTCGGCCTAAAACATGATGGCTTAAAACAGCGCCTAGAACAGCCAGGCAGGGAGCAAAACTGCCCCCCTCAGGGCTGGGCACGAGGAAAGGGGCAGTAACGCGGGGATCGGCCGCAGGAAGGGCGGCTGTGCCGTCTGTGCGAGGTGTGATGCACGGCAGTACCTCGAGGGGTATGGAAGAAGGGGACATTTCGGAGGCTCCCGGGGAGTGCTCAGAGAAGCAGACTGCCCGCTCCCCAGCCTGTGCGTGGGTCTTTCCCCATTCCCTTGGAATAAACTACAGGGGAGCAGAATCGCGCTTTTCAGTGACAGCCTGCTTTCCACCTCTCCTGGTGACTATAAAAGGGGTAGGAAATACCACGCTTCCCATTCATGGCCCAGTTCATCTAGGGAAAAGCTGCTGTGGAGAAGAGATGATTTCCAGCGCACATGAGAAGTGTGAGTCCCCTACGGACAATTATCTTTATATTGGTTTTCTCCTTTTTCAACGAAGCCTGCACTATCGGATGCTTTGTCTACAATCCTAAAAAAGGAGTAATGTCCCCAAAATACTGAGCATTCCTGATGGCTTCACCGCAGAGAACACGTTCTGCTCCACAAGTAGCAGCACGTTGGTTAGATGTGCACGGAAAGAGGAGGGAGCAAAGGGAGCTTCTGCACAACCACTGCAGCAAGACTGTGCCCGGGAAGAGATCCACAGCAACCTCAGCGTTTGGTCTTGTTTAACATCATTCCATCCTGTGGGCATGCAACCATCAGCAGGCTGACGTGCCTACAGGAGATGATGATTTCCGTACAGCTTAGCACAGAGATCCGTCTTCCCAAGGGCACAAGCCTCTCAGCTGGCTTCAGTGGGGGTCTGAGTTTTTGCGCTCCAGATTTGCAGTGAAATACCCATGTTTTTCAGACACATTGAGAGAGAAGAAAAAAATTGGTGACCTGGGACTGGAGAAACCTGAAGAGAGCTGTGACAGTAAATATTTCCACTTCCAGCAGGTTTGTAAATTCAAAAACATTTGCT